TCCGGGCGGCGGATCTCGTCTCGGGCTGCGTCTCGGCGCTCCTCCGCGTTGGCGAATCGTGCTCGCAAGTCCTGCACCTCCTGGGGGTGCTTGTCCAGCTCCTCCTCCTCCTCCTCCGCCTCCTCCTCCTCCTCCTCCTCCTCCTCCTCATCCCTCCTCCTCCTCCTCCTCCTCCTCCTCTGCACTTGTTCTGGTGCCTGTGTATGGCGCTGCGGAGAAGGTCTCCTGGGTGCCTGGTGCGCCGCTCGCTTTCGTGAGCGTCGGCCAGGTCTTGCTTGGGCAGAGTCTCGGGCAGGAGCTCGAACATGAAGGCTAGTTATGCTCTCATGTGCCGCAGGGCTCGGCGTCTCAAGAGGCAGTCGGAGCATGTTGGACGCCCTGCTCTCAAGATCTTCGCTCCTGGGCCCCCCGCTGGAGGGGCCTACGGCGCGGACATCTCGGGAGTGAGCGATCAGCCGTTGTTGCTCATGAGACGGCGAGCCTTTCGACTGTGCGCCCTTTTGCCCAGAGCCGCTTACTCACTGCCGTTAGCATTCTTTTGGAAGACCCTTGCTGGCGAGCTGCGTGCGCCCAGATTCTGAGATGGAGCAAAGAAATCTGGATCGCCCGCACCAGAGTGTTTGATGGTTCCCTGCCGTTCGAAGAGTTGCGCTTCTCTTGGAATGTGGTTTCTTCGCAAGTGGGAGTGACGTGGCCCACGGTGATGGGGCTGCTTTCCTCTCCGAGGCTCTCTTGCGCCTGGGGTGGAGGATGGATAATCTCATGGCGATGATCGACGACAGGGGGTGCTCCATCTCGCTGGGCTTCCTTTTGCCCAAGCTGTTCGAGACCATGTGTAGGGATGCCTACATGAGGGGATTGGAGAGACTTCGGGGGCAAGTGGGAAGTTGTGAAGCGTCTTTGCCCAGACATCCAAGAAGTTCTCCCCTGCTCAAAGAGGGTGGGTTCGTGCCTGTACTAATTGAGCGATCTGGACGGCTGATCGTGCGATCAGTTGTGGATATGAAGTTGACCCGCTGTGCCCTAGATGTCGAAAAGGCTCCTGGTCCTGTTGCCTACAGGCTGTGGGCATGCACCGGCGACGAAGTATCGGAGTTGCGGGCTCAGCTTGTGCCGGCCTCTATCGTGGAGCGTGCCTTGGTTTCGGTGTCGACTGAGGCCACGCCTGCG